GAAAAAAAAATTTAAAATTAATTAAAATATTAAAATGCTGCAAAATAAAACTAAAATAATTATAAATATTTAGTATGACAAAGAGTTGAAGATTTTTCCAATCTTGTTGGAATCACTAAAATATACAGATCCTGTATTTCCAACTTTTTTCACACTCCTCCCTGGCCTTTTGAACAGGAGTAGAGGTTTATCCCTTGTTTCCTGTTTAGGATTGGGTTTTTGGTTCCTTCTAAAGTCTGCTTCAGCTCTGTACTCCTAACTCTTGTCCTTTCCTATGCTGATATAACACCACACAGTAAGCCTCTACCTTGAGTGGCTCTTGGGCTTTGTGAACATTAATAAAAACTTTAAGCAAAAAGAAAAAGATCTCCTCAACTGGAGAAGACGAAACACAAATGAAACTGCGAGGGACATTGGAGATAAGTTATTTTTTTCACAACTCACAAATACGTGTCCAAGTTCCCACGTTTAAATAGGCACAGCAACCTTCTGCCACCCCCATCAACTTCAGAATTACAGAGATATACAAACAGTATCTATTAACAATGATATTTTCAACAATGTGGTGGGGAGGTAGAAGGTGGGTGTTGCCAAACTGACAGTTCAAAGGTCAAGTATATTTAAATTCACAAGGGGTTTCAAAAATAAGAGAAGAGAATAAAATCATAAAGTGACATACTTAAAAAGGTCATTCTGATTGGGTTAACATTCTTTTTATGGGCCATATCCTTTCAGAATATGGCTGATCATAGCTCTCCACAACTTCCTGTCTTTTGTTGCATAACATTATCTTAGTAACATCTAATAAGAATATGAGATTATTTTTTTTCAACTATTGTTGATTGATGGTTTCGTTTTCTATGGTTTATCAACCCTTTGAAGGTTATTTAATGCCAGAAAATATTTTTAGATTTTTTTTGAGGTTGGGGGGAAAATGGTTTAGTGATATAACCCATAGTAGGGGGAGAAGAGGTGGATTTGTACTTCAGAATTGGATAAAAAAATGTGGATATAAAGTAGGGGATCAATTCTACATCACAGTAAATATATAAACTGATTCCTCACTTTGTGGCCACTGTAGTTTCTTTACATTCCATTGAATGTAAATAAATCTAAAAAGATATGATTGTATAGCATTCTGCCATTTATCAATCTTTTGCAAGTTATTTAAAGCCAGAAAATATTTTAGATGGTAAGAATTTTTTTTTTAAAGATTTAGTGAAGAACGTAAAAAAGAGGAAAAAAGAATGGATGACAGATAAAATTCTTGACATGATGAAAAGGAGACAAAACATAATGCTAAGGTATGACACAGAATATAGGACTGTACACAAAGAAATTAGGAAGAAACGCAAGCAGACTAAAGAGGAATAGCTCAATAAAAAAAAAATAAAAAAATGTGCAGAGATAGAATGAATATTATAGACAAAGCAGATATGTATAAAAAGTAAGAACTAACAGGACAAAAGACCTGCTCATCAACAGGATGTATAAAATCCCAAAACAGGACATTGATATTAGAGAAAGAAAAACTACTTCAGAAATGAAATGAATAGATCAGAGTACACTACCATGACAAAAGAGGACAAATGGCAATGCACAAAAAATATTCAAATCTAAAGTGAAATCAATACTGGCCAAATTGAACAGAAACAAAACGGCAAGGCAAGATAAATTTATCCGAGATGCTGGCAACCTTAGACAATTTTGGCATTAAAAAGATCAAAGACATAATAGATGAAATATACAACAGTGGTGATATATCGGAAAACCTAAGCAGATCTATTTTCATATTGTTGCCTATGTATCGAGGTGCAAATGAATTGAGTTCATCGGACAATCAGCCTAATAAGTTATATAAAACTTACCATCTAAATTCCAATGAATAGCGTGTGCAGGAGAATTAGGCTAAAAATAGGACAACAACAGCGTGGGTTCATTAAAAACATTAAAACAAGGAATGTGATATTATATCAGAAAGATTAATAAAAAAAAACAGAAGGTGTGTTTTATGCAAAAGCATTTGATAAAGTACATCACAGAACTGTTAGGTAACCTTCACTTTTTTTTTTTTTTTTTTTTTTTTTTTTAAGCGTTTCACCCCAAACAAGGTGGGAGTGTCACTAGCATGCAAGGGGTTACAGAGGGTAGAGAACAAGAGTAAAGGGGCGTGTTTGAGAGAGGCTAAAGAGAAGGACGGGGGGGACAAGATCAAGGTATCAGAAGATGTTGATTGAATATTTGAAGATTATAGTTATCAGGGAAGGAAGTAAAGGAAGAGAATTCCACAGACAGGAAGTGCGAGAAAAGAAGCTGTTTGAGTAGAAGAGACAGTTACATTTAACCATTTTGACAGTGAAAAGATGGGACCAAGATGTCAACCCACTAGCTTGCTTAAATTCATGCAGTTTGCGAACCAGAGAAAGCAACTCGTCAGAACAGTTGTCATGAAAATACTTATAGAAGAGACAGAGGGAAGCCACAGTACGTCTGTGAGAATGCAACTGTAGAATAGATGCCGGATCAGGACCTATCACATCTGTCTCTGGATTTTGTTGAGGACCTTAAGACTTACAGCGGGAGCACCAGACCATATGTGACAGTTATGTTGAAGAAAGATATTAGAATAATCCAGAACCTATACTGGCAGCAAACTGCATTAGGATAGAAAATGGATTCAGTAAATATACAAAAATACAAAGGGATATAAGACAAGGAGGTGTCTTCTCACCAGACTTATTCAACCTATACAATGAGGAGATTATGAGAGAATTAAAAGTCCTATGAGGATTCATTATTGACAGTAACAATCTTTTTCTTTTTAATCCAACATATTTGTATTACTTCAAACATTATTTTTAGTGAATACCCATATTTACTAAGAAAAAAAACAAGAACAATTTTGTTGAGACATACAGACATCCCCTGCCTACTTACTATCATTGCCCTACACACACATACACACACACACACACGGTGGACTCTCCTATTGTGAACAATAAATGAGCGTCAGCATTGGATAGTGCCTTCCATTTTACATTTATGCATTCTAGCAGGGGCTATTGTGGAGAAAATCAGGTAAGGGGAAGACATATTTCATTTGTGCTTTCTTAAGTGCGATACACATGTCTTACACCACTCCTTTCAGTTTGATGCTTGGGTTTCCTAGGTTTTCAGATCAAAGTTGAGACATTTCAAGTTGTCTTTCAATTTCTTTTTGTAGCATAAGTGTGAATGTCCAACTGAACGCTTGGAGTTTGCTAGTTGTCTATACAGCATAGATATATATATATAAAAAAGAGAGAGAGAGAATATAATTTGCAAACATCTGCTCACCTTAAACACATTCTTCATTAGAAAAATTATATATATCAAAATAAAGATAATGTGAACACAATGAGAATAACTATTATTTTTTTTTATTTAAAAAAAGCTACTAAATAAAAGAGAAAACAATTTACTAAGATGAAAATATTTAGAAAATGCTTTCACCTCTCTAGATCATTTGTAATCAATTTGCATCCAGGTTCTTACATTTCACCAATCTTGTCGTCATATCAAAATGTAAACTGAATCCGATGAAATACTAAAGGAACAAAACATATCACATGAAAACTTTTTCCACTTTGTCATATTTCTTTCTCTTA